TATCACAGGAAGTAGTTCTGCCCTCTTGTGATGGTACAATAAAAATGCAATCACTAGTATCTTCTATTGACAAAGATAGATTATGGTTATATTAGGTATTAGGCTTTGGATTTAAATTTTATGGGGCTGCCTATTTTCTACACCTCTTACACTGGCAGGACTATGGGATGAACGACGTCATTCCTCTGTTGCACGTCCTGGAACAAATGCTGTTAACAATGGCTGGTCAGGGTGCGGATAGACGTGGCGCACAGATCTCAACGCCACATGACCCCTGTGGGGGCAGGACAGGAAGAAGAGGAGGAGGTAGAGGAGGACATTGGTGCTCAGGAATTATTGAGTAAAATGGGTGGTTTTTCCACTCAGCGGACAGGAGTGGAGGAGCAGGAGCATCTGGTAGAGGAGGAGGAGGAGACAGAGGACCCAGACGCACCGTGGCAGTATGCTGTGGAGATGGAGGCAGGGAGTCCCTCGCATTCCTTGGCACAAATGGCCCATAGCATGCTCGGTTGCTTGCGTAGCGACAGCCGAATAATAACCATCAGACAGAGGGATGACTTTTGGCTGTCCACCTTGTTGGACCCTCGCTACCGTTCAAAAATGGTGGCCTTTTTCACACCTGCTGAGAGGGAGGCCAAAATAAAGTACTATAAAAAACCACCTATGTAGTCAGTTGGTCTCTGCCTTTCTGCGCCAACGTCCATCCTACACTGTGGGCCCTGTGCGCTCGCGGGAATTGCTTTGTATATCTGTCGCCTTAGGGGCCGCTGTCTGGCGACATAATTTTTTGTCCCTGTGTAGACATCTATTTATAGGCCGATGTTTGGCCACAAAAATATATTTAGTAATAACCTAGCCGTTCAGGCCGCTCCCTGAACACCTCGGGAATTGCTTTGTATATCTGTCGCCTTAGAGGCCGCTGTCTGAACAGCTCATGAATTGCTTTCTATATGTGTCGCCTTTGAGGCCGCTGGCTGGACAGCTGATGAATTGATTTGTATATATGTACTTATTGTCCGCTCTCCGGACAGCTCATGAATTACTTTTTGTATATATAGCCTTCCAAACCACTCTCAGAATAAGTCATGATATTCATGCTGTGTATAGCCTTATAGGCCAATGGTCAATCAAGTCATGATTGTTATAGTGTGTATAGCCTTATAGGCCGCTGTCTTTACAACTTTATAATTCCATGCAGTATATAGCCCTATCGGCCACTTTCTGGCATCCAGTTGCTGTAGCCCCCATCACCACACTGTGCCACTGGCCCCTGTACCGCCTTCTCATACTGCTGCCAGATCCATCCTCTGCCATGTGCGTCTTTGTCGTCTGCTCACGCTGCTGGGTTCCAGTTTTAAACCTAGTCCTGTGTATGTCTTCCGAATACTGCTGCCTACACCGCCACCCTGCGCCATGTGCCACTTTCGGGTCTCCTCACACTGCTGCCAGGTCCATACTGATTCATGGCCCCCTGTACCGGCTCCTCATGAACGTGGTTCAGCGGGTTTGCATCACTTAACGGCAAATCGTTGACAAATGCTGGGGACGTTCAGTGTTGTGCGCATTAAGCCAGACACCAAAGGGCAGCACAGACCTGTTCTTACTCGCTCAAGCATGGCTGAACAAAAACCAGTCTCTACCACAAATTGGACCCAGACCTGCCCAGGGTCTCGTAACTAGATTGCACGGAGGAGTAGAGTCCGTTATCGGAATTAAATAGACAAAACGCCACACCAAAAAGAGTGGCCATTTCCAACACTTATTCCAGAAAGAGGAACAACCCGTTTCATATACGGCCCGTAGACGTTTCACGTCTGCCACATTCAGTCGATTTAAGACGCAAGCTCCACTTCCTGTGGTCTCTGACCGTCGATATACCTTTAAGTGTCAGCTTTGAAGCTATATTCCCTCCGGAGCACTGACACTGGTGCCCTTCCGTCAACATGCCTTTAAGTTTCAGTTTTCAACCATATTCCCCACAGAAGCCAAACTCTTGGGTATCCCAGAAGCTGCTCAGCGGGTCAGGGCAATAAAGCTCCCGGTTCGCAGGTTGTTCCGTCTTATGGATGGAAGTACGACGGTATATGATCTTCTTCGCACCCACGGCATTACTTCGTAGAATTTCTGCATTGCATCTGCAATCACAACGCTGACTTCCCGGATCGCCACTCAGCCATTGGACTCTTGATAGTCGTCTCCCACACTGCTGCTGGGGGGACTTTTTAACATAGGCCTCTGTATGGCCTTCAATTTAAGCTGCTTACGCTTCGCCACTCTGCCATGGGCCCCTGTACCGCCTCCTCTTGCTGCTGCCAGGTCCAGAGTGTGTCATGGGTCCCTGTACGGCCTCCCATTGCTGCTGACTTCATCGCCAGACTCTGCCATGTGCCACTTTCAGGTCTCCTTACACTGTTGGTGGGTTCCATTTTGTGATAGGGTGCTGTATGGCCTTCCATTGCTGCTGCCTCCACCGCCACCCTGCGCCATGTGCCTCTGTCGTCTGCTGACGGCTTCCGCTTTTTTCCGAGGCCTGTGTTTGGCTTCCGAATACTGCTGCATCCACCACCACCCTGCGCCATGTATCTCTGTCGTCTGCTCACGCTGCTGACGGCTTCCGCTTTTTAACCTAGGCCTGTGTATGGCTTCAGAATAATGCTGCCTACACCGCCACCCTGCGCCATGTGCCTCTCGTCTGCTCACGCTGCTGCCAGGTCCATACTGATTCATGGCCCCCTGTACCGGCTCCTCATGAACGTGGTTCAGCGGGTTTGCATCACTTAACGGCAAATCGTTGACAAACGCTGGGACGTTCAGTGTTGTGCGCATTAAGCCAGACACCAAGGGCAGCACAGACCTGTTATTACTCGCTCAAGCATGGTTGAACAAAACCAGTCTCTACCACAAATTGGACCCAGATCTGCCCAGGGTCTCGTAAGTAGATTGCACGGAGGAGTAGAGTTCGTTATTGGAATTAACTGTGAGGGACTTTTAAACCTAGGCCTGTGTATGGCCTTCAATTGAAGCTGCTTCTGCTCCGCCACTCTGCCATTGGACTCTTGATAGTTGTCTCCCCACGCTGCTGCTGGGGGGACTTTTTAACATAGGCCTCTGTATGGCCTTCAATTTTAGCTGCTTACGCTCCGCCACTCTGCCATGGGCCCCTGTACCGCCTCCTCATGCTGCTGCCAGGCCCGTAATCTGCCATGGGCCCCCGTACTGACTCCTCATGCTGCTGCCAGGCCCGTAATCTGTCATGGGCCCCTGTACCGCCTCCTCATGCTGCTGCCAGGTCCAGAGTGTGTCATGGGTCCCTGTACCGACTCCTCATGCTGCTGCCAGGCCCGTAATCTGTCATGGGCCCCTGTACCGCCTCCTCATGCTGCTGCCAGGTCCAGAGTGTGTCATGGGTCCCTGTACGGCCTCCCATTGCTGCTGTCTCCATCGCCACACTCTGCCATGTGCCACTTTCAGGTCTCCTCACACTGCTGGTGGGTTCCATTTTGTCATAGGGTGCTGTATGGCCTCCCATTGCTGCTGCCTCCACCGCCACACTGTGGCTCCACACTCTGGTTTTGGCCCCGTGATTGCCCAAATGAGTGAAGTGTGCGGTGATTCTAAGATCGACGGCACTCATCTGCATGTCATACTGACTGACAGTATTATTTCTCTTCCCCAGCAGACTCCAAGGGCATTTAAATTAAAGGTACAGTGTTCTGCACTAATATAAAGGCTCTCTGAAGCCTAGAAACACCCTTTTTATAAGTTAAATTCGCAGCGAATATATTCGGCTCGAAGCGAATTTATTCGGCGAATCAGCCGAACCGAATTTTTGAATAATTCGCTCATCTCTAGAAACAATGGCTTTGAAATGACAGAACTCAATCTTTAAGGACCCGTGGGTGTATGCCATCCGGTCCAGGTGCTTTATTCACCTTTTTATATTGTCTAAACATGTTTGGATCATATCAATTGTGACCCAATGTGGATCATCTGGAGCTGTGTCAATACCATGCCCATTATGGACAAGGGCTCCCCCATGCTCCTTTTGTATACACAGAGCTGAAGAAGGTATTAAATAAATTTGCCTTCTCTTTGTCCCCAGTCACCCACTCTAGATTATTTTGTAAAGGGCCTACATGCTCGGACCGAACCTTTTTACTATTAAATATATAATAATTATTTTTGGACCTAAGGATTTGGTCTGGAGGACCCACTGAAGAGTGCCTGGTGGGAGCTGGGATGTGTGCAGCTGCCATGGGAAATTCTGAGTATTGATCCAAGCTGAAGAATCTAGTGACTGTGTGCTCTTTTACTTTTGGGGGTCAGTGGCAGCTCTTTCTCTGAGACTCTTCCTACAGGGTCGCAGTTCTGGCTTTCCCCTTGGTTACTGGTTTAAAGACTGCTCAAAGAAGTTGAACCTAGTTAAGTGTGTCCCCTGTTGCCAGTTAGAATTTCTGGAGTATCCGATACCGCCCCAACCCCTCTCCTGCTTCTAGTTCTACAAGGAATACATCATAAAAAGACCTCACTGCTGTTTGATGGAGCCTCTGCACTGTTTTGAGTAAGAGCCAGTTCATCCAGTAGTCCTTACAGGGGCAGCTCTACAGTCATTAGGCTATTTTTTCTGCAGGTCAAAAAGAGGGGAAAAAAAGTGCACCGGAACCAGGGGCGGACTGACCATTGGGGAACTAAGGCACTGCCCGAGGGCCCAGGGTCAGTAGGGGGCCCCATGAGATGTCCCTGGTACCTTTTTCATAGGATTTTGGGTTTGATTTGAGTGTGGGCAAGGACATGGGCCCCATGATCCCCTGTTGCCCGGGGGGCCCGTGAGTTGTCAGTCCGCCCCTGACTGGAACACATCAAAAATACAATATAAATGCACCTGCTGAAATGCATCTTGAACACATCAGGACTGCATTTCTATGGTGTAAAGCAGACCTTACAGAGTGTGATCACTGATAACAGTCTCCTAATAACATGTATTTATAAATCTCTTCCAGCCTCACAAACTGTGTGTGTCATACATGCTTCAAGAGGCAGGAGAAGCTCCAGCGTTGTGGACAATGTAAATTTGCTCATTATTGTGACCGCACTTGTCAGAAGGAGTCCTGGGTTAACCACAAACATGAATGTGCTGCCGTCAAGAAAGTTGGAAAAGCACCAAATGAAAATATTCGGTAAGTTTTTCTGTATATAATTTTTTTTTTTTTTTTTTTTTTTTTTTAGGAAAATCAAGACAGATATGAATTTCTATCAAACTGAGTTTTGTTTAGAGATAAGCAAAAGAGAGAGGATGATGCAAAGCACCTTGAATAAACTGCATTCCATCTGTGCATTTTTTTAATTGATAATCATTTCTGCTTATTATACATTACAAGAAACTTTATCTCCCAAAATAAAACAACAATAATACAGGGACTTTACCTATTACATTTTTTTTACATTCTTCCTTTTTAAAAGCAGCAAATCTTACCTCCTTTTCACCGGTAAGGCATCCAAAAGCTCCCTTGTTGGTACTGAGATCTTCTTCTGGGTTTGGCATCTTCGGCTATCTTGACTAGCCAGCCCAGGATCCTGTTTAGGAGAAGAGAATCTAGTAGGCATTCTCTTCTGCAAGAAAAACCTACCTGCCACCACCTTTTCACACTGTAGTTATAATTCTGCTTTAAGGACCGATCATCAGCCAGTTGCTATCTAGCACATTTTGCCCAAGATGTGGCCCTTTGGTGCTTATTGTGTGGCCCTTGGCAGCCTGTAGTTTGAAGTATTGATTTGTAAAGGGGTGATAGCAGTGACCTCTACTTGCCTTATGTAACATGCTTACTGTAGCATATCCACAATCTCTGACCATTGTTTTTTGGGTATGTCTGCAGTCTCTGACGGTCTTGCCTTACGTGTACTGAGAATTATGTATGGCCCTTTTGATGATCTAAGGAGTCGCAGTCCAAGTCCACTATTCTTTGTAAAGTGGCAATCACTGATCTTGCATATCAGCTAGTATGAATGTTGCAAAAATATCCTCTGCTTTAGGTTCAAGATTTATTACAGGTACTTGTATAGCGCCATCAATTTCCATATATATTGTACATTCACGTCAGTCTGTAACCCCGAAGGAGCTTACAATCTAAGGTCCCTAACTCACATTCATAAATGCACATACTGGGGCCAATTTAGACAGGATCCACTTAACCTACTAGCATGTCTTTGGAGTGTGGGAGGAAACCCACGCAGGCACAGGGAGAACATATAAACTCCAGGCAAGTGGTGCCATGGCTGGGATTCAAACCAACAACCCTAGTGCTGCCAGGCGATAGTGCTAACCATTCAGCCACTGTGCTGTGGCATCAGGTGTCTGTCCAAAATATATTGCCCTATATTAAATTGTTTAACAAAAAGTGTGTAGGAAATGGATATGTCCCTAATTACACAGACCAGGAAGAATAAATGTACAAAAAAGTTTTAAACCCAAACCAAATACAATATATGTATAGGTGTGAAGAAAGGTGTAGTGCAGAATAACAGTTTTGGTAATAAATTAGTAGATTTTTATAGTGGTCTCAAAGGTACAATTGAAGAGGAAAGAGGTCAATGTAAGGGGGCTTACGATTGGCTAGGTTTCTTGGATAGGCCATATTGTGTCATACTCCTGGCCATTGGCCCACTCTCAACATCACCGGCCATAGGCCTTAATATTTAAGATTAAAGGGGTGTCAACACATAATATGCATTTTCTGCACCTACTGTAAAATCACAAATCTCCTTGACATCTGACATCATGTTTGACATACTAGCAGAGTTCTTTGGCATGAAACGCCACACACAGGAATAGACATTCTGTAGTTGTTGATTTTATGCAGAATGCAAGTACATCATTTGTATGCCCCTTTCCTTTTGCACCTCTACCCCTTGGAAGCACAGTGGATTTTGAAACTACTTCCACAGCATTTTAGCTTCCATCCCTAAGTAAAATCAAGGTACTCATTAGTATACCAGTCTCTTCCCAATATCCCTTCCATAGATCTGCCCAGCTGGGCATGCTCCCAGATGGCACACTCATTTATAGGCTTCATCTCTACTCACATCACAGGACTCTTGCCTGGCCTCCAAGGCCTTAGGATCCCTGTTCCAAGACCGGTAGAAGAGGGTCAATGGAGACAGGATGACTACAGCTGTTCCTACTGAGTTCTGTACCACCTCACCTAGGACTTTGATCCTGCAAAGGGCCCTTTAGATCGGCATTATAGAAGACTATGCTCCTCCCACAACTGACATTGGGCATATATGGGCACTAACCACAACCATGACATCACTAGAGGAGGGACCTTTCTGAAAGGGGACCTAACACTCAATTACAACCTCCCTTACTATATTATGAGAACAGAGCCATCCCATATAATAGGTATAGGTACAGGGTGTGTATATGTGAGAGAGGATTCACAAAGCGCTTTAGGTTCTAAAGAGAGAACATGGCTGAAGCTATTTCCTTTCAGGCACTCTGTCTCAGATTGAAACCCCAAAGGACCTGGTCTGAACAGAGCAGGCAGACAGAGGGCGAGAGGAGACACTGTTCTGACTTATTTACTCTAGTGTGTAAATTTCGACTTGCGCTCTATAAACAGGCCTTTTTTTAACAGAGCAGCTAAGAAAGTTCAAAACGGGAAAAGATTGCTGGCTGGAAATGAAAATGCAGATTAGCCAAATGCAATATTATATATTTACTCGACGGAAAAAAGAAGAAAATATTTTTACATGTTTTGTTTCAATTTGAAATCTAAAAAGTTTAAAAAAATGACATCAGATATCTCTAAAACAGTACAAAAGGGGTGCCCACCACAATTTAAAGCTAAATAAAACCTAGCTGATCTGTTTCAACAACCCAGGTTAAAAACAGAGGTTTTAGTTAAATTCATTTGCAACTATATGGGAAAGCCACATTGAAGTGCCAAGGCACCTCAGATAAATGTGGTATTTAATTCGGAGCTATCTGACCTTCTCAATCATTAGAACATCAATAGCAATGCACAAACAGAGCAGGCTTACCTGGAAGCAGCCCTTTCCTAATTAAAGGAACAGCAACACACCAGAAGATGGGCTTTCAGGCACCAGAAATGACCATTCGAGCACTCGGGCACTGCCCGGGGTCAGTAGGGGGCCCCATGAAATGCCCCCTGTAACCTTTTTATAGGCTTTTTTGTTTGTGTTTTGAGTGTGGGCAAGGACACAGGGGCGCCATGATGCTCTATTACCCGGGGGCCCCATGAGTTGTCAGTCAGCCCCTGGTCTCTAGTGTGTGCCTGCACCAAAGCAAGATGGAAACTGTTCAATAGAAAAAAATACAAATACATTTCCCTTTTAAAGTGGTTGTAAACCCTTTCATATACCGAATGAAGTGACTGATTTCAGGTGATGCACAGAGATTTAAACAAATCCTCTTACATACATTGTACCTGTCTACCTGCAGTTTTCTCTTCTCTACATTTTTTTCAAAGTCCAAGATATATACGAGGTGGTATAAAAAAGTTTTGAGACTAGTTTTGTAACACACCAACAGATGGCAGCACGAGCCTGCACACAGTCACAGGGAGAACCAACCTTCGAAAGTCAATGTGCCAAAAGACATCATCCTGTGTACATCGTGAGCCTTGCAACCTTGCGACCGTGTGTTCCCACGTCTGCCATTTCATCATGAACTGCAAGTTAGAGCAAAAATCCAATGTAAAAGTCTGCTCGAAACTGGGTAAATATGCCACCAAGACGTTTGCATGGTTTGGCAATTTTACGGCGATGCTGCAATGTGTAGTTTTGAGATTTTTTGAGTGGTGCACTTCAAGAGTGGAAGAACATCACTGGAAGACGACGAGAGATCAGGAAGACCTTCTTGAACGAGATCAACCCCCAAAAATGCCCTCTTCTCAAAGGTCGCCATTTTGTCAACATTGCGGAGATCTAGCTATTTGCCCAGTTTCACGCAGAATTTCACGTTTGATCTCTGTTCTAACTTGCTGTCCATGTTTAAATAGCAGACGTGGTAACGCACATGGTCAGAATTGTACCAGTTGCACAGCTCCCGATGTACACAGGGCAATATCTTTTGGCACACAGAGACCAATGAAGGTCAGTGCTCCCTGTGACTGTGCATGCAGCCTTGTGCTGTCGCCTGTTGGCTTGTTACAAAGCTAGTTCAAAAATTTTTTGATACCACCTTGTAAGCTTGTCTGAACTGTCAGAAAAAGGGGGCAGAGAGCTGAAGTTACACTCTGCAGAGCTCTGTGAGGAGCGCTAGTTACATAGTCTGGCTGAAAAAAGACAAAAGTCCTTCCAGTTCAACCAACATGGCCCCAGCATCCTCCAGCATGGCCCCAGTGTCCTCTAACATGGTCCTAGTGTCAAGTGTGAAGCCAATGTATTCCAGCATAGCCCCAGTGTCCTCCAGCATGGCCCCAGTGTCCTCCAACATGGCCCCAGTGTCTTCCAGTATGATGCCGGCGTATTCCAGTATGGCCCCAGTGTCCCCTGACATGACAGGAACAGTGTGCAGGGCAGTGGTTACTATGGTGGTTGAAGGGAAGGGACCCCCTCCACACAGGAACAGAGCTGAGGCTGTCAATCAGCTGGAGGTCCCTTCCCTGTCATCTTTTTTCTTTTGGTGTCAGGAAAACTTGTCAGAAGTGATTCATGCAGATAACAGAGGAATTAAGCAGCAGACAGAAATGACACTGATTGCTCTTGATTGATACAAATACACACTATAGAGGGATATGTTTTGTTCAGATTTCATGTCTGAGGTTTACAACCACTTCAACAAAGGACACCACTAAAGAATAAAGGACATTTCAATAAAACCTTGAATGTCATATTCCCTCATGCGGTAGATTGAAATGTGTGTCTTTATTACATACCAGGCTTGCAGCTAGAATTTTATGGCGGATAGAGCGAGAAGGAGGAAGCCTCACCGAAGGATGCTTAGTCTCTGTTGATGACCTCCAAAGCCACCTTGAGAACTTTGACCAAGAGGAGAAGAGTGGACTTATGGAAGATGTTCAAAGCTTTCTTGAATATTGGCCAAGTCAGAGTAAACAGTTTGGAATGCACTACGTCTCCCACATCTTTGGATTGGTAAGTCCAAACTATGGAAAACTAAATCTGCCTAGTTTGGTTCCTTATGGAATCAGGCAAATATACTTAAGGAAATAAAGTTAAGTCTACTTCAAGTAATCATTAAGGCATTGGGGAGGCAAGGAAAGGATAGTAAAGTCACCCACTTATTTAAAAGCTGGTTGCACAGTCCTTGAACCACAGCAACATGCATTATGGAACAAAATTCAGCAGAGTTTACAATGAAAATAAACTGAAGGGAAAAAATAAGGAAACCACCAAAATAAGTGCACAAAATTAAAGCTGAAAACCTGAAAATAAGATATCCATTCCAATATCAGAAATTTAAATTGCCTGTGTTGCGATAAAAACTATAACCGTGTAAAATATTATCAATTATGAAATTACATGGGAGGCTCCGGCTGACGCATTTTGTAAAATGAACAAAAAAAATTAAATCCTGATGATTTCGGCTAATGTGACCCAAAACTAGGACCATCTCCTTTTTTTTTTTTTTTTTTTTTTTAACAGATCTAGTGTTTGGTTGCTTTACTGCCTGTAGACTGTCTCTCTAGTGCCCAGCTGATCTATTAAAGAGAAATCAGCTCACATTTTTAGGTAGCAGCTCTCCAGACAGATGTAAGAATGTTGTATTTAAAGGGGATAAGCGCCTACCTACGGAATGCCTGTAATTTTTATTGTGGTATTAACCTACATACGTGGCTAACCAGTGTGAATTTTTAGCCCTTAAGCCCTGGAAATGCAGGTCAATATGTCTCATCAGTTCAGGAATACCCTTTTGTTGAGTCCATTGTTGTCCTGCTTGTAATCTCTGTGAGTAGCTTGCTAAATCTGGTTGGAAAGTATTTTTGGTGACATTAGCAGCACTGACTGACTACCTGGTGATTGCAATTGCCCTACAGCATACATGTTGAGGTCACTATAAGCCTTTAAAGTGGAGAAGACTACCTCAACTCATCCATATTCAGAGATAATCACAGGTCATGGGGATTGTCTTCATTACTGATGGTGGACCAAGTGGTCTCTTTTGCCCAGTTTGGATTAAGACTTGCTAACGATATGTGACAATCACCATGTCTGTATTGCATAACTATTTGCTCATTTCGATTTGTTCCATTTTCTTCCCTCTCCTGTGTGTCGTTGGTCAAATTGAAAGATAAGCTGCAATGGATTTACTTTAAGTGACCAAAGGGGTCTTCAAGCTGTCGGTGTTGGAATTTTCCCAAATCTCTGTCTAGTCAACCATGATTGCTGGCCTAACTGCACGGTTATATTCAACAACGGCAAGTAAGTCAACTATTTTCTAGAGCAATGTTATATCAGACAGACCTTGAATTATTATTGTGAAAGATTTACTGGCCTTGTAGGTAACCTGTTATGTGTTCTTCTAGGGTATCAACATTAAACACGTTAGAGTTCTATATACTGTAGGTATCAGTAGTAATGAAAATGTGCCTGCCAATAGAATGAGTAGACATATTGCAAATGCTGAATCTGACTCAGTATTATGGTACACCTAATTTAGAAATGTCTAAATTATAATGAATCTCTAATTATCCTATTGGAAATGATGTGATAGTCTCAAAAGTTAAAATGGTGGCCTTAGAATTGTTAAAAGCCCATTTAGGTGGATTGGGCATCTCAGATGTCTGTGGAAGGTTCCAGCTAGTTCTGTTTCAGTAACTCCAGCTGGGAGGAAGCATCATGGCAGACCCAGAATATAGTGGTGGACCAAGGCTTAAAGACCAGTGGTGGACCATATCTAGGCCTATTATTGGTAGAGTCTTCAACAACATTTATCTGAAGATAGCCATTAAGTAAGTAACTACTTTGAGGTACTGCAGGATGATTTTTATTTTTTAAATGATTACAAATATTCTGATACAAGGAATATTGTAGATCATTATTTTTCAAACAAAGGCTACGCTCACATATATGGGGGTGCGGAACTTTATGTAAATCGCATGCTTTCTCACGCGGGCAGCAAAAAAAGTGCTTCTTTTAGCAGACGTGCGGTTGTGCATTAATTCTTAATAGCACCTCCATGCATTGGAAACTTTTGAACATTTTCACATGCTGGGAACTGCATAGGACCATGTGTCTTCTAAGCAACTGCAATTTTAGAAAAGGTTGTTGGGACCTTTTTCCTGTGTTTCCCACAGGTACAGCAGTCAATTCAAACGAATGGGCTGCTGTTTCCTTTGGAAAAAAAAATGCATACATTTGAACCTAATGGTATGCAGGTGCAAGCATGGTCACTGGGCTAAAAAGACATACAAAAAGAAAACTAATATAGCCATCACATCTAATGAGTGGCAAGCTGCAATATACAGTATAATATTTTTGGTTTTGCAGGTTTAGTGCCCGCCATGCCATGCAAGTTGCAAATGCAGGTTAAGTCGCACCCTATTGTCCGCAATTAAAGCAGTCATATCGGTGCGATTCCGACTTGGTTGGAGCCGCACCGATTTCTAAAGTAGTGCATGCACTACTTCAGGTGTGACTTGCATAGACATCTGTGTCTTGTAAGCCACAGATGTCTTGCAAGTCACACCAAGTCGGAATGATATCTGACTTTGAAATTGTGCAACTTCCAGTGAAGACGCACGATTTCAAAGTCATATTGGTGTGACCAGGACCTTAATGCCCCTTTAACCACTTGCCCTCCTGAGGATTTACCCCCTTTCCTGACAGGCCATTTTGTATGTTATGGCACTGCATTACTTTATCTGACAATTGCGTAGTCATGCAATGCTGCACCCAAATTAAATAGAAGTCCTTTTTTCCCCCACAAATAGAGCTTTTTTGGTGGTATTTGATTGCCTCTGCGGTTTTTATTTTTTTCACTATAAAAAAAAAAAGACCAATTTTGAGAAAAAAAAACAATATTTTTGACTTTTTGCTATTTAACGTCCAGTAAAAAAAAAAAATTTAAAATCGAATTTTGTCATAAAATTAGGCTAAAATGTATCCTGCTCCATGTCTTTGCTAAAAAAAAAAAAAAAAAAATCCCAATACGTGTAAATTAATTGGTTTATGTGAACGTCATAGCGTTTCCAATGGCGGTATAGATACTGGGATTTTTAAATTCTTTTTTACTAGTAATAGTGGTGATGAGCGACTTCTAGCGGGACTGCGGCGGACATTCTGATACTGGGGGGGAACTGACTTGGTGTCACTGACATCCCCAGTGACACCAATACATCAGTGCTAATAAAAACCACTAACACTGTACTAATGACACTGGGCAGGAAGGAGTTAACATGTGGGGTGGACAAGGGGTTAACTGTGTGCTGTTTTACTATGTGGGCTGTGTGTGTGCTTCACTGTAAGCACACTGCTTTGTATGGCTCTGCTATGCAAACAGCTGACAGGGGGACAGGGGCGGACTGACCATACGGGCACTTTTTTTTTAAAAGGCTTTTTTGGGTGTGCTTTGAGTGTAGTCAAGGACACAGGGGCCCCATGATCCCCTATTGCCCGGGGGCCCCATGAGTTGTAAGTCCAGTTGTCAGGGGTTAACATGTGGAGCGATCTAAGGGTTAACTGTGTGCCGTTTTACTACATGGGCTGTGTCTGTGTGCTTCACTGTATGCACACTACTTTGCACTGCCGTGCAAAACAGTGTGCATGAGCTGACAGCGAGGAGAACTGTTTTATTTACAAACAGTTCTTCTCCCCCCCCCCCCCCCGGGGTCAGAGATGCTCGGCAATCACCAGGCGCTGGAGAGTAATCAATGGCTGGGATTCGGTGATTGGCGGCCGCGAATGGGGGCGCGGGTATGGTGCGCGTACCAGAAAGAAAAAGTATGTGAACCCCTTGGGATTACGTGGAGTTTTGCATGAATTGGGCATAAAATGTGCTCCGAACGTCATCTATGTCACAACAATAGAAGAACACAGTCTGCTGAACATAATACTACACAAACATTAGATGTTGCCATGGTTTAATTGTACATAACATGTAAACATTCACAGTGCAGGGAGGAAAAAGTATGTGAACCTTTGGACTTAATAACTGGTTGACCCTCCTTTGGCAGCAATAACCTCAACCAAATGTTTCCTGTAGTTGCAGATCAGACCTGCACAACGAGTAATTTTGGACCACTCCTCTTCACAAAACCTGTTTCAGTGTAGCAATATTCTTGGGATGTCTGGTGTGAATCGCTCTCTTAAGGTCATGCCACAGCATTTCAATCGGGTTGAGGTCAGGACTCTGACTGGGCCACTCCAGAAGGCGTATTCTGTGCTGTTGCAGCCATTGTTTTGTTGAATTACTTGTATGCTTTGGGTCATTGTCCTGTTGCATTACCCATCCTCTGCGGAGCTTCAGTTGGCGGACAGATGGTCGTATGTTTTCCTGCAAAATGTCTTGATAAACTCTGGAATTCACTTTCCCATCAATGACAACAATCCATCCAGGCCCTGAGGCAGCAAAGCATCCCCAAACCATGATGCTCCCTCCGCCATGTTTTACAGTGGCGATGAGGTTTTGATGTTGGTGTGCTGTGCCTTTTTTTCTCCACACATAGTGTTGTGTGTTCTTCCCAAACATCTCAAGCTTGGTTTCATCTGTCCACAGTATATTTTGCCAGTAGTGCTGTGGAACATCCAGGTGCTCTTTTGCAAACTACAAACGTGCTGCAATATTCTTTTTGGACAGCAATGGCTTCCTCCGTGGTGTCCTCCCATGTACTCCATTCTTGTTTAATGTTTTCCTTATTGTAGATGTGTCAACAAAAATGTTAGCATGTGCCAGAGATTTCTGTAGGTCTTTAGCTGACACTCTGGGATTCTTCTTTACCTCATGCAGCATTCTGCGCTGTGCTCTTGCAGTCATTTTTACAGGATGACCTCACCTAGGGAGAGTAGCAACAGTGCTAAACTTTCTCCATTTGTAGACAATCTGTCTTACCGTGGACACATGAACGTCAAGGCTTTTGGAGATACTTTTGTAACCCTTTCCAGCTTCATGCAAGTCAACAATTTTTGATCGTAGGTCTTCTGAGAGCTCTTTTCTGCGAGGCATGGTTCACATCAGACAGTACTTCTTGAAACCAGTAAACCTAAAACAGGTGTGTGTTTTTTTAAGGGCAGGACAGCTGTCAGCAACACATCCAATATCATCACACTGATTGGAGTCAAGGTTGGCTCACTCCTGGCTCCAATTATCTCTGGGAGAAGTCATTAAGCTAGGATCCTCACATACGTTTTTCCTCCCTGCACTGTGAATGTTTACATGTTATGTGCAATTAAACCATGGCAACATCTAATGTTTGTGTAGTATTTTGTTCAGCAGACTGTTCTTCTATTGTTGTGACTTAGATGACGTTCAGAGCACATTTTATATATATATAAACTTTGTGCACCCCTGCCGCCTTGTAGCAGTATATCTGCTATAGGGCGGCGGGAATGTGGTTAAGTAAGGATTGTTTAGTTTATTTATTTCAGGTACTTTATATAGCGCTGTCAATTTACGCAGCGCTATATATATATATATATATATATATATATATATATATATATATATATATATATATATATATATATATATTCACATCAGTCCCTAACCCTCAAGGGGTGTACAATCTAAGATCCCTAACTTACATTCATACATACACATACTAGGTATAATTTATACAGGATCCAATTAACCTAGGTACACATGATGAGAATATTGGACAAATGGTTGTCTGCTTTTTTTTACATGCTAGTCTCATGTTGAAAATGAATAGGTTACTAAAGTTAGGAAAATTCTCGTAAGACAGAATACAACTTCCACGATTATGTGATGTATTCTTTCATTTCCAAGCATGCGCGGTTTTTGGTCACTTGATTTTTTTTCTGGACGAACACTGTACGGATTAATCCAAAATTGTTCATTATGTCATCGTATAAGAAAACATTTTGCACTTGTCCCTTTTGGATAATTTTGCATGAACTGTCATGATTGGCTCTCGAAAGCTGTGTAATAACAATCAGATGATCTCTCCAAAAGCAGCATTTTGTCATCCGATTTTCTCATCGTGTATATGGAACATAAGGTTTTTCTTACATCAAGGTCTAGAAAGGTTATTAAATATGTAATAGCAGATGTAATATCAGAGCTCTGCGTCTTGCATATGAACACTCAGCCAAGTGACCTTAGGTGTCCTTGTTCAGTAGAGGGAGCATAATGTCACGTTATGCACACACTAAATCTACTAAATATAGGTTTCTGCCATACACATCTGATAAGGTGTGCTGCTATTTGGCTACATTTATTTTGTATGATCAATCTGAGTTTA